TTCATGAAATTATAGGAACCAGGGAGATTTAAAACTGGGAGGGTTTCATTGGGTTATTTCACTGATGGTAAACAAGAGCTTCACCCACCTCCCCACCCAAAACCCTTCTGCCTCCCTCCCTGTTCCTCTCCGGGCGGCAGGATGACGCTCTCTGTACCAACTTCTGCATATGAGTGTGACTCACTTCTCTGCACTGAGTGCCAGGATCCCACAATTGAGGCCCCTCTGAGGGGTGCACCCAGGAGAAGAAAACAGGTTGGGAAGGGGGGAGGTGTATGGAAACAACAGTTCCTCTGGGAGCCTGATGCCATCCTCCCAGAGGCCCTGCTTCTGTAGAAAAATTCACTGCTTCCTTTAACTGGTTAGAACACAGCTCTGTCTCTTGAATCCATCTCTGGCTTTTAGAGTCTGGTTTAGGTGAGACTGGGTATCCTACTTCTTGCCCTGGATGGTAACCAGAGCCCATGTCTTACTGCATAAAGCAACCTGGTCTGGTAGAAAGAGCACTGATTTGGGTTCAATCCCACTTCTGATATTTATTAGCTGTGTGACCTTGGACAAGTGCCTTAGCAATCCTGGGCCTCAGTGAACTCATTTGTCAAATTAGGAGACTGGAATAGACAGCCCCTGAATTTCTTTCCAGCTCTAAGTCTATAATTCTGTGATCTAGATCGATACAGTCTTACGGTTCTACTCAGTCTTTCCTAGTTCTGACGCTACCTCCGTAGTTGGCCAAACTATAATTAAAAAAATCAGCCATGTCAATCATTGAGAATACATCTGTCTTCTGTGATAAAATGCTCACCAAGTAGAGCCAATACCAGACCTTTGTGCCTGTGCCCTAAACTTTGTCTATTCTTTGTCCTTTAAGTCTTTGTCTTTGAAATGTGACTCTTCGTGACCCCATTTAAGGTTTTCTTGGCAAAGATACTGCCGTGGTTTGCCATTTCTTTCTCCAGCTCATTTTACACATGAGGAAACTGAGGCCAACAGGATTAAGTGTCACACAGCTAGTAAGTGTCTGAGGCCGGGTTTGAAATCAGGTCCTCCTGATCCAAGTCCCCATCCCAGGTTCTGTTCTCTTAGAGATGTCATATCCGGCTCCCCTTCTCTCTATCGCCATTGTAAACTTCCTATTTTACTGCAAATGTGGATTATTTTGATGCCCAGTAACCACCAGAGTTTCCCAAGAGTCTTTATCCTCCCATGGTTCATGGTTATTGTTCCTCTGAAGAAGGCAGTCCCCAAATCTGCCCTCAACCCTGATTCTGCAGTAGCAGATTTCTATGTCTCTTCACTTCTACAAATGCAAATTGTTTATTGACTTATTTTATTCTTTTTGCAGTTAGTAACCAGGGCAACAGGGGACAGGGGAGAAGCAGGACCAATAATGGAGACATGATAACGGTGCCCAGAAATGCATGGTCTGGGAGGATGGATGTAAAATCTTCAGGAAATCCTGTAGCTTGGTTCACTCAGAAAGAAAGAAGGAAATAATGCCAAGCAGATGAAAATGAAGGGAATCTGTGATTTGACTCCAGACATCCAAAGGGATAAGCTGTCCTCTGACAGGGTCCATATCCATTTCCAAGGGACATAATCTGCCTACCCACTGCACAGTCAATTCTGTTTCTGAAACTACAACCAAGGGTTTTGTTCTGGGCTAGGCTTGACTTAGGCCAGTGCTCTGGTAGTTTATGTTTGTAATTAGAACAAGAGGAGACACTCATATGTCATTCAGCAGTTAACAAAGGGGTTGATTTTGCCATAGAAGGATGAATATGCATTGAAGATACTGGAGTCGACTCAGTTGAGAAGGCTCCCTTCTCAGCCAAGCATCAGAGAGAATACAGAGCTGCTCATGGTTGTTTGAGTCTTTAATTGCCTGAAACCATCAAGTCCTGAGGATGGTTTCCATACCTCTTAAGGAAAAACTGCCCAACTTGCCTGAGGGTGGGGTTGGGGTTATTGTTCCCAAAAAATACTCCCTAAACTGTCAGGAAATAACTGTTAGCGTCCAGGATTTATCCTTTCCATGGACAGGAAAATTCAAGCGTAAACAAGACTATTATTAATTTGGAGGAAACATGTTAGGAGGAAAATTATTTCAAACCCAAGCTAGAGAAAAAAAGGGAACTCCTTAAACTTTTGAATCCAGCATATTGGAGGACTATGGGGTATGATGGTGTGGTATAGAGGAAAGAGAATTGAGCTGAAAACCAGGAGGCTGGTTAACCTGGGCTCTGCCAATAACCAGTTTGTGACTCTGAGCAAATCTTTACCTCTCTGGGCCTCAGTTTTTTCATTTACACGTTGTCATGACTCAAAACTACAGCTGATGAGCCCCCATTGAACTTTTTCTTTTACCAGACTAAAGCAAGGAAGACATTAATTCAATGCAAAAACATTAAATTAAAATAGAATAGCAAGTTATATAACAGGGAAACACCATCCTCTATTCACACAGGGGAATACTCTCACAAGTTCCACAGGTAGGAATGGGAACACACTTTAGGGGACACATAGGTAGCTAGGAAACTCAGCTGACCTGTACAACTCATGCTCCTAGATATGTAGTATGGATGCAATACTTTTTTGCCTCTGAATCTGACACTTGCTTTTTTCCCAAAGAGTATCTAATATTATCTGTTAGTTTGGTAATGTAATTTTCTGGTCTAATTTCTCCACTAATCTGTAAGCTGCTTTCTCCACTGAGCTGCATCTGCTGCTGTCCATCTGCTGGGCCATCTTCTCAGCTCTGCTGCCATATGTTGGTTCTCTACTGAATTGTAGCTGCTCTCTGGTCATTGCTCCACCAGGGAGTGGTCATACTTCTTTTGTGAAATAGCCTGGGGCTATCTCAGTTCTTTTGTGAGGAGAAGGAAATAAGCATGTGCCTACTATATATCAGGCACTGTGCTGAACACTTATAAACATGATCTCATTTGACCCTCGCAACAACTCTGAGAGGTATCATTATCCCCATTTTACATGGGAGGAAACTGAGGCAAACAGAGGTTAAGTAATTCTCCCAGGATTGCACAGCTAGTGAGGCTAGATTTGAACTCAGGTCAAGGCCCAGTGTCCTATCTACTCTGCTACCTTGCTGCCTTTGCAGATTCATATTCTTACCCACTCAAAAAAAGCTCTTAGATCGTCAGTTTTTTATTTTTATTTTTTAAATAAGTTTTGTTTCTGCCTTAGCAAACAGGCCTACTTACTATTTGGATTAAGGTGGAAAAATTCCTTTTAGTTCCTAACTTGCCCCTGGGCAATAGAGATTGTCTTGCTAAACTACAGGGGTGAGGGTGGTAGTGGCTACTCTTTCCTGCCCTCATGTAGTTGCTCCCAAATCACTCTTCTCCCTCCATTTCAAATGAGAGCATTTGAACAAGATAATAATAATAGCTAACATTAAATAGTGCTTACTATGTGCCCAGCATTGTGCTAAGTGTTTTACAATTACTATGTCATTTGATACAGCATCCCTGAGAGGTAGATGCTATTCTTATTTTTTACATTTTACAGATTTTTACTCATTTTACATTTTTTTACATAAATTTACATTTACATTTACTCATTTTACGGATGAGAAAACTGAGGCAAACAATGGCGAAGTGACTTGCTGGGATCACATACCTACTAAGCATCTGAAACTGGATGTGAACTCAGATTTATCTGATCAATGCTGTTTCCAAGAATATCTCTGTGATGGCAAATATCAAATGTATTTTGCATCAAGTTCTGATTTACCACTATTATCCTAATAGAAGAACGCATCTCACTTTAAATGAGACCACATTATAATTTAATTTCAGGGTGAACTTCAATGTCTCTACTCTTTGTAATGCCTTGGGTGAGGTGCCAAAGGTATATGTACAAAGAGGCCTGAGAGACTGTGCCTTTGTTTCATGAGCATGAAAGGTAGTTGAGTGATAAGTTTTATATACATGAAATGATGGCATTACGAATAGTTGCATAGAAGGAAGGAAAAATCACAATAGTTTGAGGTGTTTGGGTTCAGAGGGGGTTTACTAGGATAAGACTGAAACTGGGCTTTGACAGAAGAATCCATTTGGGTAGGAAAAGGAGAATGGGGAGAATATTCCAGAGGAGCAAATGATGTATGCAAAATCAGGGAGGTGAGAATGTTTTTGTTATTTTGTTAGGCAAAGGGGTTACGTGACTTGCCCAGGGTCACACAGCTAGTAAGAGACAAGTGTCTGAGGTCAGATTTGAACTCAGGTCCTCCTGGCTTCAGGGCCAGTGCCTTATGCACTGAGCCACCTAGCTGCCCCAGGGGGGTGAGAATGTGCAAAGCATGATTGGGAAGTGATGGGTTAATTAACTTTGCTTGAACAGAGGGCAAGTATAGAAGGGTAGCAGGAAATAAGGAAAACTGTTATCTGCTATGACTGATGTCTAAGAACCATACATCATCTTGAGCTTTGAGGCTCAGGATGAAGAGGCATTGAAGGACCTGGATGACAGAGATAAACAGATGTAGCGAAAGACCCAAAGTATAGAGAAGAGCTGGACGGGAGACTAGACAGATATCTCTAGCTTCTTCCCCCTCTCCCCCCATCCTTCTCCAAGGGATACTTTTTTTTTTTTGCCAGGAAGGGAAACAGGAGGTTGGAATCAGAAGGGTGGCTACTCTACCCTGCTCAGGGAGAGAAAGGGTACCAGGCTTGAAGTATATCTATTTGTTCCCTTAAATATTGTTCATCTGTGGGATATGATTGTGTTCCATCTAACTTCTGACCACTTTTTCATTTTGGGGGGAAGGGAAGGGACAACCCAAGCTCTATATCCAAGGCTTGACCCCATTTTGGGGTTGTTTTTTTTTAATATGAGTCAATTGGGGTTAAGTGACTTGCCCAGAGTCACACAGCTAGTGAGTGTTATGTGTCTGAGGCCAGATTTGAACTCAAGTCCTCCTGAATCCAGGGCCGATGCTCTATCCACTGTGCCACCTAGCTGCCCCCCTTGACCCCATTTCTTACCAAATACCAGTTGCACAATGAATACACACAGTGAATAACAAAGAAACCCATTTATCCAAATCTTGGCAAAATAGAAATCAGGGAAGGTATATGTAGGAGAATATATACTAGACAATACAGAATGAAGGGACTCTCCCATTGGGATCAAGATAACTCATCTCAGCCAAAGAGGGTGTCCTGGATCTCACCTAAGAGCAAACTCCCTGAAGTCTCCTTGAAGTAGTAAACTGGGAGTAGAGACATGACGGAGACCGCCAGAAACACTCATATCTTCCCAGAGTCTTTTCCTTCAGTAACCTGAAGTGGGGTTGGTCTCTTCCATCTTCTCTCTTGAAGCTAGGAGCCAGAAGTGCCTGAAGTAACTCAATGCTTAAAGTCTTGAAAAAGACTCAAAGCTTAATGAGTCCCTAAAGAGGCCTGAAGAAGGCTGGAGCTCTCCTGATATTTCCGTAGTTCCACTTGTCCATCAAATAGGGAAGGACGTTTATCTCCATCAGTGAGGAGAGAGTCCCATGCCAGTGGGCTTTGGGCCAGGTGTTACACCGACAATGGAGTTCTTTAAAAAAAAAAATAATTAATTTGTAGTTTTCAACATTCACTTCCACAAGATTTTGAGTTCCAAATTTTTTCCCCATCTCAGCCCTCCCCCCACCCCAAGATGGCATGCATCCCCTAATCGACAATGGAGTTCTAAACACATTGAGCAGAGTCCCCAAGCCAAAGTACTAGACAGCTTGCATTCACACGACTTGATGCCCAGGGCCTGATTATTTGCTCCATGTACAGATTATCTTCTGGATATACCTTACCCTGTAACATCTTAGGATGAGGCCCAGAGGCTGGTAATAAGTGTGAGATCAGTACAGACTTGAGTACTTGAACATCAGCTATTCATTGACCTGGATGTCCTTTTTTACTAGATTAGTACATCCTGAATATTTACAATGACAAATTATGGAAGTAGTTGCCACTGTCCCCTCCCAACCATCATGTTCAGTCATCTTGGGCTCCTGGAAGGTGGGGTTCCTGACAAACCGGTTCTTTCCCCATTATATGGGCTCTCAAATGTCTACTTTCTTGCTCTACTTTTGCCTATGATTCAGGAACTCTATAGAGAAATCCGTATGCCCTGCTACCTTTCCCAATATTTTCATCCCTCTCGCCTTAGCTTTCCCTTCTCTTAGTTCATACCCTCTTCTATCCTTTCATGTCTTTGTGACCTATGGAAGCCCCTATTGTTCTCAAATTCCTTGTAATCTCTCTCCTGGCGCGCACTGAAATCTGGTTCCTTCTGGAAGATACTGTATTCCTGACTACACTCTGTAGGGCAGGGTGTTCCTTGTGCGGTTACCCCAGACACACAAGGCCAGGAGAAAGAACTGGCTCATTCTCTGATATCAGAGTTGTTAATGAAGAACCTCTGTACCTGGGGCAAGGGTCAGCTGCTCATATGGTTGTAGCTGCCAAGAGAAGGAGGCATACCCTGAGGCACCAGGAACTTTCCATGCTCAGGAAGGACTGGCTGTTGTCCGGGATGCAGTAGTGGGGATGGGGGGGGGGCCCGGGGCTGGAGGAGGAGACCCATCGGAAAGACTGGTGGAGGAGCCGGGGTGCTGAAGGATTGATTGTTAATGTAGCCTAAGATCACGTGGGCTTTTTTGGCTATTACATATTGCTGACTCATACTGAGCTTGCAGTCTCCTCAAACGCTGAGGTCTTTTTCATGTAAACATTACTCAGCTGTGTGGCTTCTACCTATACTTATGCAGATTATTATTATTATTATTATCATGGCAGCTAGGTGGCAGTGGATAGAACACTGGCCCTGAAGTCAGCAGGACCTGAGTTCAAATGTGGCCTCAGACCAAACACACCTGCTGTGTGACCCTGGGCAAGTCACTTAACTCCAATTGCCTAAAAAACAAACAAAATATTATTGTTATTATTATTGTTATTCTAAGTGTAGGACTATACCTTTGTTGTCATTAAATATTTTAAAGACACATTTCCAATCACTTAGCATAGTGCTTGGTACATAATAGGTGCTTAATAAATGCTTGTTGATTGATTCAGTAGAAGACTTAGAGGCATGACCCCTGCCAGTGTGTGGCACTTTGGAAAAACCTCAAATGGTGCCGTTAGTATCTTCTAAATTTTGTCATCTTCTGGTTTCCCTATTCTAATTACCCCTTTGTTTATGCCTCACTACCAGTTCTGGACCTTCCCTTGGGCACCAGCATTGTGTGACCTCTCCTTTGTGGTTCACTTCATCCCTCTGTATCACTGGTGTGAACACCTAGTGGCCTTCAGGTCTTTTATTCTCCTTCCTTTCTTGGGGATTTTAGTGTCTGGTTCACAGTGGGTCTTCTTTTTTCATCGCAATCCTTAGACTCAGACCAAAAACTTTTACATGCACATTAATGTCTCCTCAACTCTTCTTGGGTTCGTCACCTGCTCAGCTCCTATGACTTAAACTTTAACAATACTCCAGCTAGTATCCAAGATTGATCACCATCTAGGTTCTCACCATCACCAAAAACCATGCTATCTCCATGACTTTAAAGTCTGAACATTTCCTCTCTAATCATAACTTTCTCTTTTTCAGGATCTCCCTCTGCCACATTCATCCTAAACTGATTCTGTCTTTATTCTGACTTTCAATCCTTCCATCATCTTCCCTCCCCTCATTTTCCTATTCTATCACCTCACTCTTGCCTTGCTTTCTCCCCGTCACAGCCTTGATTCTAGGGTTGGTCAACTCAACTCTGCATTCTCTTCTACCCTTGAATCTCTCAGCTTTTGTCCTGTTGCCTCTAAACTTTGCTAAGTTTTCTGTTTACCACCTTTTTGTCGGTGTTGTTCAGTTATTTCAGTCATGTGTGACTCTTTGTGACCCCGTTTGGGGTTTTATTGGCAAAGATACTGGGGTGTTTTGCCATTTCCTTCTCCAGCTCATTTTACAGATGAGGAAATTGGAACTAACAGGGTTAAGTGAGTTACCCGAGGTCATACAGCTAGTAAGTATCTGAGGCTAGATTTGAACTCAGGTCTTCTTGACTCTAGGCCCGGTGCTCTATCCACTTCACCACCTGGCTGCCCCCTACCATGTGCCTTATCTGTTCTTTTTTGCTTCCTTACTGGTGAATACTACTGGAGAAAGTCATGCAATCATTCTGACTGGTCAATATACATTTATGTTATCTGATTTCAGTTGGGACCTCACTTCCTCATGTCAGTCCTAAGCAGCTATGCTGTTTATTGGCTGTATTTATTCAGCTACATTATTGTTGTTCTTCATTTTCAAAGAGGACCAATGACATCAGGAGGGTGATGTCTTGACTTGCAAGTAAATTGGATTTGAGTAAGTCAGGGCTGTGCAAAGTCATCAGCCTCACTCTTTCCTCTAGGGTTATCTGAGTCTAGTGGCAAGACATAGGTCAGGATGAATGGAGATGACCCCAGATGGCCATTTTAAGCTAAGAACTTTTCCAGATCTCAGTTTGTCTGAGGTAACACCCATTCAGTGATTTAAGGCTAGGTGAGAAATGAGGCAAAAGATGGCCTAGTTTGCCTACTCAAAAAACAAAGCAAAACAAAACTAAGAGGGGAAGACCCTCAGGGTGTCTGGCCAGAAGAGAAAGAATTGCTTTTTACACTCACTCTGAGCCATCAAAACCCAAACAAGACCAAGTCAGGCTTGGGCTGGTCCATTATTGGGTAGTCAGTGAGAGCCAGAGTGATTTGGGTTTAAGGCACGGTCAAATAGCTCCATTTGAATCCCAATGAGCTTTGTCACAGCTTGATTTTTCAGAGCTCTATTTCAAGAAATTATAAATGAAACTAGCTCCATGAGACAAAAGAGTTAACTGTAACAGTTTAAAAATAAAATGTTAGAATAAATAAGTAGGGAAGAGAAAAAAAATTCCAGCCCCCAAATCCCAAGATGTCTTGTGAGGTTTCAATGATCAAAATTTATATTCCTTTGGGCAGAGCACCCACATGTAAGGGTATGATTCCACATGTGGACAGAGAGAGAGGAGGGGGAAAGGAAGGAAGGGAGAAAAGAAGGAAGAAAAGTGGATAGAGCACCGGCCCTGAAGTCAGGAGGACCTGAATTCAAATCTGGCCTCAGACCAAACACTTGACATTTCCTAGCTGTGTGACCCTGGGCAAGTCACTTAACCCCAATTGCCCAAAAGAAGAAGAAGAAGCAGAAGAAGAAGAGAAGAAGAAGAAGAAGAAGAAGAAGAAGAAGAAGAAGAAGAAGAAGAAGAAGAAAAGAAGGAAGGAGCATTGCCCAAGTGTTGGGCAACTAGTTGGGTGCCCAGTAGGGCAGCTACTACTACTCACAAATTATTGTTTAAAGCCCCCATCTGTGATTGACTCTTGTTAGCATAGTTTGTCTTCCGTGCTTCCTTCCTTCTTGTTAGTACTCTGCTGTACCCTGCCCAGTAAAAGGTTCCCCAAATCTGTCCTGTCTAATCTCCATTAAAATGAAATAGTGTCATGTCCCATTGCTCGGGGCCAAACTAGCTGACTTTATCCAAGGCACTCTTATTTTGAAATCTGTGAACTTTTAAAAAAAGTTATTTTGATAATGGTATTTTACCATCTTTTGTAAAATCTTATATATTGTATTTCATGAATTTAACAACATTATTCTGAGAAAGGGTCTATGGGCTTCACCAGATGGCTAAATGTGTCCATTTAAGGGTAAAAACTGCTGTATTTGAGGCAAGTTCCCAGGACTGAGCTTGGTCCAAGACAAATGCTAGGTACAGAACAGGGAGTGGGTATAATACCCCAGCTTCTATATGCCCAACTGAGAGGTTCCTCAAAGTTAGAAGAGTACTTCCTCTGGCGTCAGAGATGAGCTCAAGAGTGGCCTCTGTAACCTATGTGACATCAGGCAATTCACTTAATCTACCTTGGCATCAGTAAAAGAGGGAATTTGACTAATGGCTTCTGATACTGTTTCTAGTTTTAAGTCTGTGAATCAGGAATTGATGGAGGGAATCCATGATTAAAAAAAAAAAAGTTAAGAACTCTGTTTAAAGTAATCCAGGCTTTTAATACATTATCCCTCCCGGATGACGCTTGTGTTTTAGCAGAGGCCTTCTGGAGACTGAGGACCTTAACCTAAAAGAATGTTGGGAATTTCGGGCACCTTGGCAGGCAGATGTCAGGGGACCTTTGTGAACTTCTAAAATTAGAACAGAGAGACACTCCCCTATTTCATCTATATATAGAGCCAACTCTGACCCATTTGTTTTATGTAACATTTGGCTAATAAATAAATTCCATTATAACAAAGGAGTTGGGACAGTTTCTAGAGAGCAAAATTATAGGATTATAGATCTAGAGCCAGAGAGGAACTCAGTAGTCATCTAGTCTAACTTGCTAATTGTACAGAGAAAAGCAAGGACCAGATAAGGAAGAGAGGAAACAAGTATTTGTTATGTATCTATGCTGTGCCAGGCACTTTAAAATATCATCTCATGGGGTCCTCACAATATTCCTGTGAGGTAGGTTTTATTATTATATTCCCCATTTTAT